CGACACAAAGGGGCCGTTGCTAGTCAGGCGGCGCTGCCCGAGACCAAAGAGCCCAGCCAGGTCTGCAATCTGCTCCTGCACACGCACACGCACACACACCCCGCGAGCATCCACCCCAGCTGCCCGGATAAAACTCCCAGAGCGTCCTCCCCTTTCGGCTCTCAGCCATCGTAGCTGGAACCGGAGGGAGCCTCCAGGAGCTCAGCGAATTCCCCAGAGTTTCGAGAGGAGCTGCGCGAAAGCTCCCCGCTTTGTCTTCCCACTCAGCCACACGGTTGGCCTCCCCACGGGCGAGACTTCTCGGTGTTCACCTTCCTACCGCGCATGATTGGAAAAGCACCTCTCCTGTGTCTTTCTCTCCCCACGCCTGGATTCACACATCGCACTAAACCCTCTACTTCAGTTGGTGGTGTGAACCCAAGTGCTGTGGCTTGGAAACCAGGGGTTCGGTATCATGGGCCGACTCAGCCAATGGCCAGTTAGTAAACCATGGTTAAGCAAAGCGCAGGCTAGCTATCCCAACCGCTGCCCCTCGTCACTCGGAGCTGCTAATTGAAGTTCATTTTGATCAGGTTGAGAGGGCTTGTAGTAAGAGAAACGGCCGCTAGGGGGAAGCAAAGCCACAGCACCAAACCACTTCTCAGATGGGGAGTTTGAAAGGCCTAGAAAGGCTTTACTGGATATATGCAGACAAGGCCATAGACTCAGACTACGCACCTGGTTGCAGTTCTCATCATCCCTGCTTGATACAGGTACAGTATTGCAGATTACGGAAATTGAAATCCAGGTAGCACCAGGTTCAGGAAGGATGGGGTAAACTCATCAGATTAAAACAGAACTGTAACGGAGGGGCTGGAGAATTTTAGAACTGCCTTTCTCAAAATCAAAGCTGTATTTAAAGATGCTTTCCGCTCATCAGAGAATGAGCAGTCAGTGTTGGACAAGGTATCTAAATCTTTCCTAATCTGAAAATACGTATCTAAGCCGAGCCTGCACAACATGTGGCCTGCCGACATTTTTTAAAGTAGTATATTTACAGCTGACCCCCCAAAAAACATCCTGCCCCACACCTCCGAGCCTTGCCACCACCAGCTCCAGCACCTCTACCGCTCTGCGAGCTGCTGATCAAGAAATTAGAAATTTCTTTGAGACCCGCAAGGACTTCTAATTTATCAATGTGGCCTTTTTGCCTCAGGTTGTGCCGACCTGGTCTAAACCCTCATTAGCAATTCAGCTGACCAGTGGGAGCACCTGGCCAACTTTTGGCTCATCTCAGAAACTAACTAGGGTCAGGCCTGGTAAGTACTTGGACAGGACACTATCAAGAAACCCAGGTTTGTAAACTTGTAAAAATGCTCTCCCAGCTGCAAAACAATCTGAAAGAAATCAGTGGCAAATCATCTTTGTGCTGAAGAAAATTACACGGACATAGCTATGAAATCACTGGGACTAGCTCAAAAGAGGTTTGACTTTGCTACCTGTGAAACCAGATGTATGGGAAAGCAGATAATGCTAGCAATGAAGTGAGATCACCTATTACGTTACATTTAGAATGCTTTAGAATTTGTATCTAGCATAACCTAAAATACTGTGATTTTTTAAAAATGATCACTTTAGGTATATCGCTGCCTATCAAAACAAGTTCTCTGAATGTCTCATAATGCCGAAACAAAGTATCACAATACAATCAAAACAATTTAAAAACAAAACCCCAGTAAAATGCAGCACAATACTTTCCCCTTAGCTGGAGAAAAATCAAAATTACTGAATGCTTTAAACGACTAAGTACAGTGAGATACGGCCAGTTGAAATGTTCTTTGCCGAAAATGTGAACGGTTTGAAAGACAGCCTGGCAATCGCCATTATCATCATGATGCTGTAATATAACAGCAACCACCCCCTCTGCGAAGGCTGTTCCAGAACTGAGATGCCACCACCGAGAAGGCTATGCTCTTACTAGGTGTTGATTCACTGTGTTGGCTAGACAAGCAAAGTGAGGGGTATTTATAGCACTTTCAACCAATGCAGAATCTCCTTGCCTGCCAACTGTTGGAGCTGTTGCTATAAACGCTTCCCCCTTTCACAGCAGGAGAAGGTTTCCAAGCAGCCCTTCCCCTTTACCCGTTTTGACCCCAGACTCAAACTGAGGCGGAGCAACAGGATAAAGATACGATTCACCCAAAAGATCTTTCCTATGTTATTCCTGGGTTCTTTTTCCAAACAGCTTATGCAGAAGTCAGACTTGGAATTTCGTTGAGGGAAACCGCCCCCTCAACGTTGGAAGATCAAGGCAGGCGAGGGCCTTCCAAAAGGGTTGGAATCTGCTCTGGAGCAGGCTCCAGTGCTCAGCTTTGTTCCCGCAGCAACTCTCGACCAACTGGTGGGGGGGGGTCATGAAAGAATGTTCTCTTGGCTGCCAGTGCACAAGCGAATATGGATTTCAGAGCTCCAGAAGGATGGAATCAAATAAAACTGCCCTCTTTTTGTGTTCAAAAGTCCCCTCTCTCTTTTTGCTTTAAAAATTATTCCTTCTGAATAGTTGAATGTATAAGTTGCAGAATATCACATTTCCTTAAAGGAGATAGATTGTTTCTTTCTCATTTCCAAAGTTGCATTCCATTTTTATAAAGATAGTAGTATTTCATATGTTCATTGTTAGTTGAATCTGGTATAAAGTAAGCATGCAAACATGTGGAACTCCTCCCCCCAATTTTTACTACAGTTTAGCAATACAGTTTCTCAAGGTGCAAAAAAGCCTGAAACATATATAAACTGTTGGCAGAGAATAACAGAATTCCAAATTTATAAATTATTTTTGGAAACTCTGTATAGTTTATGAGGTCTCCCAAGTTTATAAAGGCTGGTTTGGAGAGCTTTTATTCCGCCTCAAAGTTCAACTGGGGTTTTTAAGCACGGGACTCCAAACTTTATGTG